AGTTCTTCAGTCAGCTGTCATCCGGTCCGGCCGACTGTCCCGCGGAATGTTCGTTCCCTTTCATATAAACTTAAGAACACACGACAGTGCGACCGTCGTTGCCGACGATGTCCACTGTGTGCCCCTCAGCAGGCGGAGCAGGGACGGTGACTAGTATGTAAGTTAGTTTAAGGTGAATGCAGGCTTTTACAGCATCTACCGCACTCGCTTCTCCCCGTCCGGACCTGGTGCCAAGACAGAGTCAAGAAGACCGGAGATGGGGGAGGACGCAGGTGGATGGCGCGGTCGAGCCTGCACCTTGGCGTTACACTCCACACCCCCTGGTCCACACAACAAATGACCAGGTTTTTGACCAACAACAACAGTGGAGGACGGCAGGCGTCCCAATGCGCGCGACGGCTGCCGGAAATCGCTTCTGCCACCGCACCCTGAAATGTTGGCATTTGTTATGGTGTGCAATCCGTTAACTCCTGTCAGAATCTGCTGTGGCCCCCCTGTTGATCCAGCGCATCTACCACATGGTCCGTTTGGGGGGCAATCGATAGTTCGCCCGTCGTTGCCGATGATGTCCGTCGTGTGCTCCACTGAAAAGTGAAGCAGACACGGTGACTTACGTGTGAACTAGTTTATGCTGATAGTAGACTTGCACAGCACCTACCGCACCTCCCATACCCCACTCCCCACCTGGACCCAGTGTTATGACAGAGTCAAGGAGACCGTAGGCGGGAGGGCGCAGGTGGATGGCACGTTTGACCCCCCCCCCCTTGGCGTTCGACGCCGCACCCCCAGGTCCACGCAGAAAATGACCAGGTTTTTGACCAGCAACAGCATCAACAACAATAATACCCCAACAAGGATCAGAAGGACGATGATGACTGGGCAGCCATGCCCACCACCTGTATACCCAGAGGAAGCGTAAGCGCATATACCGACAGGGAACGAGGTGGCGGGATACTGCTAGCGCATAACAGTCTGCGGAGGCCATGTTTGCTGATACTGTAATTGCACACGCTTTCAGACCTTTTGACATAGAAGGGCGACACGTGGTCCTGCATTTGGCCTGGGCCGTCACCCTTTAAGGCTAGGTAGACACACACGACAGGCGGACCGTCGTTTCCGGCGATGTCCGCCGTGTGCTCTGCAGAAAGGTGTAGCACACACGGTGACTTGTTCGTGAATAAAATAAAAGCGACAGCAGACTTGTGCCGCATCTGCCGCACTTTCTCTTTTCCACTGCCCACCTGGAATCGGTGTTAAGACAGAGTCAAGAAGACCGGAGGCGGGGGAGGGCGCAGGTGGCTGGCACGGTCGAGCCCGCATCTAGGCGTGCCACCACGCCCCCTGTTCCACAACACGCACTTCACCAGGATTCTAACCAACAACGACAAAAGAATGGAGGCTGGCACGGCCGAAACCGCGCCTAGGCGTGCAGCCACATCCGGTCCGGATCCCACGCAGTGGAAGTGCCATAAGGACCATATTAAGAAGGCGCCAGCCAGACGGCTCTCCACACAAGCACACAACATTGGGCCGATTGCGAGGTCCAAGTTATCTCGTCAGTCGGCAACCTTCCAAGCCACTGCTTTTAGTGCACCGTGATAGCTTCAAGTGCGTCAGATTGTTGATGGTGAGAAAAATGCGCTGAGTCGTCGACCTCACTCTCCCTTTGCATTCTCAAACCCCAGCAACTTTTCGAGCCGGTCAGCAAACTGGAGTGGGGAATGGGCGCGGTGGCTGACATATATAATGACTTTGTCTGTTCGCGCCACCTACACGATCTGGCTCCCCAAACACAAGCAGTAGGATTTCATACAATGGGATTGAGTGGCGTACATCTCACATGCGTGAGAGTGCCGTTAGTCCCGTCTATAACGATCTGTTTAGGCCTGGCTCTCAGCACACCAGTCCATTACTCCACAAAAACACACACACGACTGTACGGATTGCGTGGACTGGGTTGGGGCGTCAGGCAATAGCCTCCAAGCCACGGAGCTTGAAGTGCCGTAGTAGTCTCAGGTCAAACATGTAGCTGGGGGGTCGCATGGAAACGGGGTCAAGACGCACACTTCCCACTTGCGCAGGAGGTGGCATTTAGGTGCCTGTGGTGGGTGATGTTGGTGTGTCGTGAGATGCTGGTGGGGAGGATGCGATTGTGTGATGCAGCCGGCGGTGGCCTACCGTAACTTTTCGCGGACGCGCGTGTGGCCTTATAAATGTGCGAGTGCGATGTGGAAAGTGAAGGCGGATGCGGAGAGTGTAGGTTTGTGCTCCAGGCACTGGTTCGTCGGTTTTTGTGCAATGGATTCGCTAGTGACCAACCGGGCCGATGCGTGAGGTGGATGTGTGGGGACAGTGTGGAAATTAAAAGTCGGCGGTGTCAGCATCACCTGCAGTGGTGGTAGTGGCGGTGGCGG